AAGATAACAATTCCGTAAGGTACTACACCTATAATCTATTACACGTCCACTTTTTCTATTGTTCAATATTCGCTGGTCTAATAGCTGACTCGACGTTTCTCGCAGTGTTATTCTTGCGATGTTGGAAGATCCATAAAAATAGCAAAAGTGTTTTAACATTATTGCAAGAAATATTGAAATGTATTTTTCTGTCGCTCAGCAAATTGTAGTTCAAATTTGTGATCAGTGACTCGGAGATAATGACAAAAACGATCCAGGCAGCGCTAGCACCACTATTAAACATCGCGTTTTTGTGTGGTTTAGCCTTATTGGAATATCCTCTCGGACGTCCTAGATTGTATCTCACTTTTCTGTATTTGTTAATTACATGGAGTTTTTATATATTTCTTTTCTACTACATAATTTACTCTAGTTATGCGGCATACATATACGTGTCTTGGATAAATATCACATTTATGTTCATCGCGATGGTGTCCATATTTGTCAGCCTGCTTCGTTTTAAGGTATATATTATAAACTCTCCAGAATATAAACACTTTATATTTTTTTATATCGCTTTATTTATTGATAATCGAATTTTTTTGTGGTAAAATTTAATTTTGATATTTTTTGATTATATACAAACACAAATTTTTTAAAGAAACTTCTGAATAAATCAATTTAATCCATTATATCATTATTTATCACGAATAAAATACTTAGACAGATTAATATTTTTGTTTATATTTTAAATCCGCTAGTTTTACGTTAGTCAAAGATTACTGATATTAACAATTACATTTTAATAATATATTCTAATAACATATTTTTAATATTTTACTATTGTATATGATTAATTTGTATAATGTTTTAAGGAATTGAAAATGTGCTTAAATATAATTTCTATTGTGGATGAAACATTGGAAATGCTTGGAACATCAAAGGAATATCAACGACTGTACGATTGGACAATTCGAATAATAATCGGATGGATTGCGCTGATTTGTTTCATGAATACTTTGGACAGTATATGGTTAAACTGTGATTATTTAAATATTGCTCGCATTTTTGCTCCTTTTGTAGGAAATCACTTCCTCCATATGAGCACTTTTAGTGATTTAATGTGGGGAATTATTTTAGGGTCAGTATATGTATGTTTATATATTTCGTTAAATTATATTTTGCATACAAATGTGTAATAAAAATATATAAGAAAACGTGTAAAGATATTTAAATTGTTTCAAATTTTTTAGATTTCTTTAATATTTTGATGTTCTTTAAGCAAGAAAAAATTTAGAATATAGTTTTATTGTTTGAAATTATAGATATAGTGTTACAAAGTGTCTTAAAACTTAAAAATATAGATTAGATACTTTTCCTAATTACTATTTTTTAATAAAACCAGATATATAAACATCAGATTTCAACGAATCAATAATTGCATCCATAACCTATTAGAAGAGACCATAGAAGATAGCAACAATCGAAAGAAATTAATCTTACTCAGACAGCGAAGAACAGAAATCAAGGAATGCGGGCCATATATGTGGACTATAATGTTATTTATATTATTTATAAAAGTTGAATTGGCTGCGTGTGCATGTTGCCTAAAAAAGATATTTTTTACTTTTTGTTTTCTCACATATCCTTAGTATATTTGCATTTCTCTCGATTATGGTTGTTCTTGAAACGACCAAATGAATGCTGGGTATCTTTTTATTCTTAGCGTACACGTCTCTTTTTCTTGGTGTCGCAATATCTTCTCCTCTTACACTAGCGCTATCTCGCCGTAAGCGGCGATCCACGAACCTATTCTTTGAGGGCGTTTCTAACTGTAATAACAGTAATATAATGCTAACGAAAACTAAACAATGGTAATTATATTTTATTTACAGGCACGTCCATCTACAACTATGTCTTATATCACGCAAACTAAACAGAATATTCAGTATTCAGATAACGCTGCAAATGGCATGCTATTTTACATTTTTTGCGGAGACGACTGTCGAAGTTTACACGTTATATATAAACTGGAGAAAAGCACTGACAATTCGACAAATATTAAGTATTATTTGTATTTATGGCTGGACTTTCGCATTTAGCGCAAAAATTTTGATATTAAATCATATCTGTCAGATTGTGTGCAATAAGGTAAATAATAGAATTAATGAAAATTTAATTAATAATATGTAGCAATAAAATGATATGTACATATTTGATAAAAGTAAGCATTTTGCAAGTTTTGAGATTATAAAAACGTATTAGCAAATTAAATCAAAATTGAATAAATTTTTTTATAGTTGTCCGATTTTACTTTTTATACTAAACTATAGATTGCAAATATCAATTTCCAATATAATTTTAGACAAAGGACACAATAGCAATTCTTCACAAATTGTCAACAAACAATAATCTCGACAAAGGCTTGCGTGAGCAGGTAAATTATAATTATTCCATGTAATAATTTAATATATATAATATTATATATATATTTAATAATTCAGTATTTTATATATAGTGTAAATTTGTATTGTAAATTTACTTAATTATTTATTTAAATTTAGACACTACAGTTTATACTACAAATAAAACAAAGAGAACTAAAATTTTCTGGTATGGGACTTTTTTATTTTGGTCATAACTTTATTCGTCAGGTATGACTCACATTTTTATTATTAATTATTTAATTATACTCCACATTTTTTACATCGTTGTGTTACAAAGTTGTTTCACAAAGTTCCTATCACGTTTTGTTCAATAACATATAACGTTCAAAAAAGCTGTTAATCGTATAAAGCAGGAAAATATTTTTTAGTTCTACGTATCAATTGCAACTATCATGGTGATTACAATACAGATGCATGTAACTTATGATATAAATTCAACTACTAACACAGTAAAAAGTAAATAAACGCAATATAAAAATATATAAAAATCCTAATGTATATCTGCTAATGTATATCTAACTAATCTAAAAACATATATGTAATTTGTTTTGTATAGTAACAAATAAAATGTGAATTTGTTGTTGCAGAAAGAATGCATTTCCAACATTTTTCATTCGGCATTAAAGGTACTGAATACATTGAACACATTGAATACAAGTTCCACATAAAAGCGTGATAAATTAAATACTCAAATATAACTAGTTTTGGTCGTTCATGCTTTATAAAATTGCACATACATAAAGATAACAATTCCGTAAGGAATTACACTTATAATCTATATTACACGTCCGCTTTTTCTATTGTTCAATACTCGCTGGTCGAATAGCTGACCCGACGTTTCTCACAGTGTTATTCTTCAATGTTGGAAGATTCACGAAAATAGTAAAAGTGCTTTAATATTTTTGCGAGAAATATTGAAATATATTTTTCTCTCGCTCAGCAAATTATAATTCAAATTTGTGATCAGTGATTCGGAGATAATGACAAAAACGATCCAGGCAGCGCTAGCACCACTATTAACCATCGCCTCTTTGTGCGGTTTAGCATTATTCGAATATCCTCTCGGACGACCTAGATTACATTTCACTTTTCTGTATTTGTTGAGTACATGGAGTCTTTTTATATATCTTTTTTACTACGTAATCTTCACTAGTTATACGACATACGTATATGTGTCCTGGTCAAATTTCGCAGTAATGTTCATCGCGATTGCGTCCATATTTGTCAGTCTACTTCGCTTTAAGGTATATGCATTATGAACTAAACACTTTTTATTTTTTTATAACTCTTTACTTATTGATAATCGAGTGTTTTATATAGTGAGATTTAATTTCAATATTTTATGATTATATACAAACACAAATTTTTTTCAGAAATCTCTGAATAAATCTGTTTAATTCATTATTTATCACAAATAAAATGTTTAGACAGATTAATATTTGTGTTCATATTTGATCCGTTAGTTTTACATTAGTCAAAGATTAATGATATTGACAATTACATCTTAATTATATATTCTAATGACATATTATTGATTTTTACTATTATATATGATTGATTTATATTATGTTTTAAGGATTTAAAAACGTGCTTATATAAAATTTCTATTGTGGACGAAACTTTGGAAATGCTTGGAACATCAAATGAATATCAACGACTGTACGATTGGACAATTCGAATAATAATCGGATGGATTGTGCTGATTTGTTTTACGAATACTTTGGACAGTATATGGTTGAACTATAATTATTCAAACATTGCTCGCATTTTCGCTCCTTTTGTAGGAAATTACTTCCTCTATATGACCACTTTCAGTGATTTGATATGGGGAATTATTTTAGGGTCCGTATATGTATATTATTATACATATTATTAAATTATATTTTACATAGAGTGTATAATAAAAATATTATATAGAAACACACGCGTGCGTATAGGATTTAAATTATTTAAATTTTTTTACATTTTTTAAAATATTTTGATGTTCTTTAAACAAAAAAAAATTTAAAATATTTTGTTGTCTAAAATTGTGGATATAATGTTATGGATATAAAGTGACCTGAAGCTATAAATATATATCAGATTTCATTTTTTATTACTATCTTTCAGATATATAAACGTTAGATTTCAACGAATCAATGATTGCATCCATAATCTGTTAGAAGAGAGCATAGAACATAGCAACAATTGGAATAAACTATTTTTACTTAGACAGCGAAGAACAGAAATCAAGGAATGCGGGCCATATATGTGGACTATAATGTTATTTATATTATTTATAAAAGTTGAATTGACTGCGTGTGCATGTTGCTTAAAAAAGATATTTTTTACTTTTTGTTTTCTCACATATCCTTAGTATATTTGCATTTCTCTCGATTATGGTAATTATATTTTATTTACAGGCACGTCCATCTACAACTATGTCTTATTTCACGCAAGCTAAACAAAATATTCAGCATTCAGATAACGCTGCAAATGGCATGCTATTTTACATCTTTTGCAGAGACGACTATCGAAGTTAACACGTTATATATAAACTGGAGAAAAGCACCAATTCGACAAATATTAAATATTATGTCTCTATATGGCTGGACTTTCGCATTTAGCGCAAAAATTTTGATATTAAATCATATCTGTCAGATTGTGTGCAATAAGGTAAATAATAGAATTAAAGAAAATATAATTAACAATACGTAACAATAAAATGATATGTACATATTTGATAAAAGTAAGCATTTCGCAAGTTTTGAGACAATAAAAGAACATATTAGTAAATAAAATCAGAATAAAAGAAATTTTTTTTAAGTTGCTTGATTTTACTTTTTCATATAAAACTATCGATTGCAAATATCAATTTCCAATATAATTTTAGACAAAAGACACAATAGTGATTCTTCACAAATTGTTAAACAATAATCTCGACGAAGGCTTGCGTGAGCAGGTAAATTATAATTATTTTATATAATATTTTAAGTATTCTATATATAGTATAAATTTGTATTGTAAATTTATCTACTTATTTCTTTAAATTCAGACACTACAGTTTATATTACAAATAAAACAAAGAGAACTAAAATTTTCCGGCATGGGACTTTTTTATCTTGGTTATAATTTTATTCGTCAGGTATGACTCACATTTTAATTATTAATTATTTAATTATACTTCACATTTTTCATTATAGTATTACAAAGTTATTTTGATGTGCTTCCTATCACATTCTGTTCAATAATGTATAACATTCAAAAAAGTTGTTCTAATTGTATAAAACAGGAACATATTTTTCAGTTCTATGTATCAGTTGCAACTATCATGGTGATTACAATACAAATGCATTTTATTAATATGACAACAGATATAATTCCGAAAAATAATTAACGATCTTACTAAAATTGTTAATTATATAGAAACACAAAATTATGCATTATATCTATGTTATATTTTATTTTCTATTAACAAACTGATTAAAGTGTTAAATTATTATTAATTGTCCAAATCAAATTTTGGAAAATTTACAAAGTTTTATAAAGGTAACATAATTGATATAAATAAAATTAATACATTTAATGCTATTAACATATGTATTAACAATCAAATGTGAGAATATAAAAACATATAAAGAATTGTTATTACACAATAAATGTAAAATATATTTAATTAGAAACTAAAACTTGCTGTAAAATGATAATAAACATAAGCATTTATTTTTCTTTACCAAAATAATTTTTATATAACCAAATTATTTGATAAGCTTATAATAATATGCATATAGAACAAAATATTAATGCACGTAAGCCTGTATTATATACATAACAATATTGAAATAAAAACAATATTAAAAAAAAAGCGAAGGTTGATTAGTAATATCACTTTATAGGTTCGAAACATGCACAATTTATCTGTGAATCATCTTTTCGTTTATCTGAAAGAGTTGATCAGTTTAATATGCTTAAGTGCCACGATAAATATATTACAATTAAGAAAATGTACTATCATTATGATGCGGCGTAATTATGTGACAGGGGAAAGTGGAGGAAAGAAAGAAAGGAGGCGATTCACTGAGCAAATAAATTTATTCAAACCTTCATTGTTCGCTCGCGGTAGTGATAATTATGACGACTACTATCCAACAAGGTCTGCGTCCTCTTCTTCTTATGTGTTTCATTGTGGGTTTAGGCGTATATCCCATAAAGCAACCAAACAAATCAAGATTTTATAGATGGATTGTATACTTAAGTTTTCTATATTTTTTGGCAATCTGGTTTGTTTATGGCTATGTCTTTTCTCATATGTTTAATATTTTTTCACCGATAGTCTTATTTCAGACTATCAATATTCTCGTCATGACGGTGATTAACAATTTTACTGCAATTATGTCTACAATTTTAATTTTTTATCACCAAAAGGTACGTTCAATATTATATTTTTCTGTAGTTATAAAATATATACTAAACATATATGTTATACTCATATTTTATATATATCTAATATCATTAAAATAATCGTAACTTTTAGACATATATATATGTACATTAAATTAACTATTGACAAAACTATGTCAGAAAATGTTTTATTTTTTATTACATCAGAGTTTACATCTGATTCTTAAAAAATTATTAAACTTTTTTACTAAATGAGAAATACTATTTAAGGTTTTTATTATTTAGATGCGTTTTAATCCAGAATTATTACTGTGTTTCTAGTGAACGTTATCACTACTGTGTTGTAATTTTCACAACTATATAAATTAGTGATTTCAAATATTTATGTTAATTTGTAAGACAAATTTAGTTTTAGTTAATCAAAACAAAATGTAGTTTATTTTTACTTTATTTCTTAGCAAAATTTCTTAGAAAAATCTTTACTTTAAAAATTATATGCACTAATGCAATAAATTATATTCAATAATCTTCACTATCAAATATTTTGGGGTGTCGTAAAAAATACGGTAGTAATCAAATTATAGCTTAATGTGGTTCTAGAAGCTTCACATATACATGAAGAAACTTGCCACAGTGGATGATACTTTAGAAAAGCTAGGTACTCCCAAAACATATCGAAAGTTGCATATGTTATCAACAGGCGTGATAATTGGATGGATTGTGCAGACTTTCATCATATATATTTATAGCACAATATGGTGGTCAAAATTTACGAAACAAGTTTCTTGGGGATTTCTTGTATTTTACATATTGCAACATCCTACTCATATTAATGAATTCGCAGACTTAATATTTATTTTCTTGTTATGGTTTGTAGAATATTTATTTACTCTGCTAATTAACGCGTATCTACCTAAATTCACATATTTATATGTATTTTTATTTATAGATTCGACATATGTAATTTTTCTTTGATTGATAAAATGCAATTATTACTATACTAATAATTTTAGTATTTTTTTACGCAACCTGTAAAAAATTTTACCAGTATTTCATGATATATTATTTTGCGAGCAAAATTGCTATAAAAATTAACAAACTTATTATTTAAACTAATTTGTAAAATTGCTATATATTTTGTAATTCATAAGACAATCTCTTTACACAGGTATATCGGCACCCGATTTGATAAAATAAACGACTATGTGCATTGCTTATTGTTAAAAGAAGAGCATGGAATGAAGTATATGTGGAAGATACCTATTATTATTCCTGGATATTTCATTCATAGATATAATTACAAGCGAACATTGTGGACCTCAATGTAAATCAATACACACTCATATCATTTGACAGATCATTGATTTCATATTAATTTAATAATAATATTTTACAAAGATTTATTTCTGAAAATAATAATTATATTTATAATAACTAAATTATATACTATAAAATTTTATAGTTTATATAATATATAGCATTTTTATAATAAAACATGTTTTTCTTGTTAGGCATCTTTATTTTGAATTATGCCATATTGCTCGTGAATTAAACATGATATTTGAAGTGCATATAATTTTTGAAATGGTGACGTGCTTTGCATACTTAACATCACTTTGTTATTATTTATGCCGTATATTGGAGCAGAAACATATTGATAAAAAATCAGTACAACATTTGATTGGCTTTGGTTCTGCGTTTTTTACATATTTAATCAGGCTCTATGCCGTAAATCATATTTGTGAAAGTGTTAAGAATAAGGTAGGAAAAACATACAAAATATGCATGAAAAGTTACTAAATTTCAAGATACTAAATTTCAGGCCAAAAATATTGACAAAATAATTCATCAATTGACAAATACTCTTCGATATTCTGATATTTGGAAAGAGGTAACAAAATTTTTACAGCTAAAATTATTTGAAATAAATATTGATTAAAATTAAATAATAATATGTTATATATAATAATATATATTGTATCCTTATAGATTGATTTCTTCGTTTTGCAAGTAACGCAACATCCCTTAAAGTTTACTGGATTGGGTCTCTTCTATCTTGGGAATCAGTTTCTTCAAAAGGTTTACTTTTGCTTTCATATTTCTGACAGTTTTATGTTTATATTTTGTTTTATATTATAAATAACTGAAAAACCAAAAATTATGCCAAAATTGTTTTTATTATAAAGCTGTAATTGCTGTGTTTTTTATCACACGTCATGTAATATATTATATTTTCCATTCTGGTTTGCAATATATCTCAAAATAAGTTTTTAGTTTTAGGCATATATACACAAATATTAATAAATACGTTTTTTACAGTTTTTCATAGCAATTTTAACATTTGTGATTATTATGATACAGTTGAATATGCAATCAGCACATAATACTGAAATAATGGATTAATAAAACTACTCATTTAGTTTAAAATGGCAACATCAAAAATATTGCAATGGTAACAATTAAAAGTCATTCTTCTAATGTATTAATTAAATATGTAGTAATATAAAGTTGCAACAATTTCATTATACTACAATATTTTATTTTTCTTTAATAAATTGATCATGTTTAGATAATTTTGGACGTAATTATGTTCAAATAAATTTTATTTTTAAATGTACATTTTGTTTATTATTGGGCATTAAAATCTTATAGTATAAAAATTGATAGGTTTTAGGAATTTAACATTACAATGCATAGACATCTTATATTTAAAACGAAGAAATGTTAAAATGTCCACAATGTTAAAATGTATATTTTACTCATCGCATACAGTAAAGAAAATGTGAATTCTAAAAGTCTAGGATGTCTAGGATGTCTAGGATTTCTATCAAATGTTATGATAGCAAATTCTGAAGCATAAAAATGAATAAAAAACTTGATTAAATAATGTTTCAATTATAATAACAAATTGATTAAATAGTACCAAATATTATTAGGTAACCAAATCAAATTGTGAGAAATTTGTAAAGTTTTATAACGGGTTTATAATATTAATAAAATTAATACATTTAATGCTCTTAACATATTAACACTAAAATGTGGAAATATAAAAACATATAAAGAACTATTATTACATAACAATTGTAAAATATACTTGATTTGAAACTAAAACTTTTTTGTAGAATGATATTAAACATAAATCTTCATTTTTCTTCACCAAAATAACTTTTTATATAACTTAATTATTTGCTAAATTTATAATAATATGCATATAGAACAAAATATTAATGCACGTATAAGCCTGTATTATAATATCGCAATGAAAACAATATTAAAAAATACGCGAAGACTGATTAGTAATATCATATTACAGGTCCGAAAAATGCGAAAGTTATCGATGAATCTTTTCATTTATTAGAAAGTGTTTATTATTTTAATATGCATAATATTAATATGCCGCGATAAGTATATTATAATTAAGAAAATGTACTATCATTATGATGCAGCGCCATTATGTATCAGGGGAAAGGAGAGAAAAGGGAGGAAAGGAAGCGATGCACTCAGGAAATAAATTTATACAGACCTTCAGTGTTCGTTTGCGATAGTGATAATCATGTCGATTACTATCCAACAAGGTCTGCGTCCTCTTTTTCTTATGTGTTTTATTGTGGGTTTAGGCGTGTATCCCATAAAGCAATCAAACAAATCAAGATTTCATAGATGGATTGCATACTTAAGTGTTCTATATTCTTTGGCACTCTGGTTTGTTTATGGCTTTGTCCTTTCTTATATATTCTCCATTTTTCCACTGATAGTCGTATTTCAAACCAACACTAATATTGTCCTGATAGTAATTAACAATTTTACTGCAATTATGTCTGCAATTTTAATTTTTTATCAGCAAAAGGTACGTCCAATATTAACCTAACCACTTTTCTGTGGTTATAAAATATATGCTAAACATATATATATATATATATATATATATATATATATATATATATATATATATATATACTATATATATATATATATATATATTATATATATATATAT